AGAAGAAAGGAGAAGAGAGAAGGAGAAGGAGAGAGAGGAGAAGAGAAGAAGGAGGAACGAAGAAAAGGAGAGAAGAAGAGGAGAGGAGAAGGGAGACAGAAAAGAGAAACAGAGAGACAGAGAGACAGGAGAGGACCAAGAGACATGAACAGAGAAACAGAGGACAGAAGACAGAGCAGAAGACAGAAAGACAAGAGACCAGAGACAGAGACAGAAGAGAACAGAGAGACAGAGAGACAGAGAGACAGACAGAGACAGAGACAGAGACAGAGACAGAGACAGAGAGAGAGAGAGAGAGAGAGAGAGAGAGAGAGAGAGAGAGAGAGAGAGAGAGAGAGAGAGAGAGAGAGAGAGAGAGAGAGAGAGAGCAGAGAGAGAGAGAGAGAGAGATAGAGAGAGAGAGAGAGAGAAAGAGAGAGAGAGAGAAGAGAGAGAGAGAGAGAGAGAGAAAGAAATGTACAACTTACCTTGCATCAGGATTAACATTGCAACACAAGAAGGCTATCTTGTAAAAAGGCTCTGGACATTCCTCGCAATATTTAGCTTTGAAGACCGACTCATTTAGGCCAAAGTCCATAGACCGTGGCATGTAGTCGGGGTCTGCTTCCACTCGACCGATAATCTAGAGAGTTTAATGGGGTGTGGAACAGAGTCAATATTTGCAATGACTATCACTAATATGACTTTCTTATTTATCAACCCCTTTGTCTTTTTTACTTATTAAATAATCCAGACAAAAGAATAATGAAAAGTTCAAAACAGAGCCTTACCTCACACAAGATAATTCCAAAGCTGAAGATGTCTACTTTTTCATCGTATTTGTTCCCTTTCATCATTTCTGGTGCCATCCAGTATGGGTTACCAACAACAGTATATCTGAAATTATGAATCTCATTAACAATTACATACTTCATATCATACAAAGGCAGTACTCACTGCAAGTCAAAAACCATGATGTTATGATGAGACTATTTTTCATCACATACAAAATAAAATGGAATTTAAGACTCTACCTTACCTCTTTTTTCTTGCATGTCTTTTACCAAACTTCTTTCTCTCAGCAGTCCAGTTGTTTTGAGGCATAATACGAGCTAAACCAAAGTCAGCTACTACAACTGTCTTATCCTGCAGGAGAAAACAGTGAATTATTAATTTATCATATATCATAAAAAGAATTGTGTGATGTGTTTCTATAAGCAGTATATTAAATGATAAATGCACCTTGAGTTGATAAAAGGTAAAAGATTACCCTGAGAAATTTGTCCAAAATTTAAGTTACAAATTGAATATTTCCGGCATATAATTTCTGAGTCTCCAAAGCTTGCCATTTATATAAACATTTATTAATTAACATAAAAAAATATGCTTCTTCTGCCTCCTCCCCCTAAAAACATCATAATAAAACAAGCCTTCAGAAATCCTATTTACAATAAATTCTGCAACTATATCATGAATCTCTATCTTGTATTGCACATTTCCTTCAACTTCCACATTTTACATCAAACCAACTACTAAATCGGCTTGAATACTAGAGCTATAAGAATAAAACAATAATCCAGACTGCTCACACAATATAAGATATGAATAAGACCTGATAAAATCACAATGTAAGATATGTAATTGACATCATCCATATGACATTTTCTTACAATTGCATGATTCTGATGACGAATTGTCAAAATATCAAACAGCTACAAATCTTGCATTATGGAATCATTCATTTTCCCTCAAGGCTCTTCTAAATTTGTAGCATGCACCTCACCTCTCTGACTAGGCAGTTGTGGGAGTTGAGGTCCCTATGTATAATATCACAATTATGCAGGTACGCCATGCCTGAGGCTATATCTTTGGCGAAGCTGATTCGCTGGTCCCAGGGTAGAGGCTCATCAAGAGCATGGATGATCTCTTTGAGAGTCCCACCTGAGATGTATTCTGTAAGTAAATGTAGTTTGCGGTCCTTGTATAAGACTCCAATGAATCGCAGGACATTTTTGTGACTTAGACTTCTTAAAACTGCAACCTGAAATGAGAAATGGGAGCATATGACTTTCAGAGTTTATCAAATCATGTCTTTTATGTCCTATATCACTTTGTCTTTGCCAACATAGAGCATATTTGTATATTTCTATTTTTAACATAATCATATAGGAAATATTCCTTACCTCTTTAAGAAAATTTGTCTGTGCTTGCTCATCTACTCTGTACAGCTCTTTCAAAACCATTACTTCTCCAGTCTCTGAATGAGTCATTTTGTATACCTGAAATGTACCATATCTCTTAGTTTTCTATTCATTTATATACTATTCTAATATCCTACATTTTATCTCTCCCCCTCTAAAAAACATGTAAGACAAGGTACTTAACAACTTTTATTGCCTTCTGCTAACATAATGAACAGCCATTATATAAAAAATAAACTTTACCCAATCAAATACTTCTATGGGAAGGGTGTTCATACTCTTAACTAAAACTAAATACCTAGCTGATAAAAGAAAGAAAGAAAAAATAAGATTGGAGAGAAACAAAAGGTTAACAAGTAACTTAAAATACATTGTCTCTAATAATCTCACCTGTCCAAAAAAACCTTTACCAAGAAGTTCTCCCTGAGTGAGATCAGATGCACGGAAGATACGATGATTCTTTGGCTCAACACGGAATGACTTTGTCCTGCTGAGGTCATAGTAACCACTTTCCCGAGGACAGTCACTGAAAAGTATGTTACGAATTTAGGAAACAAATACAAAAATTAACAAATTAAAGTGAATGATGTAAGCAAAATTTCATATACTCTACAAATTTAAACCAGTTCTCAAAAACATCTTCAATCAGAAATAAATAATGGAAAATGCAACGAGACAGTCTTTCAAACAGTAACAGATACAGCATTAACAAAGACATAAAAGGTAATGCAACACAAACACAATGGATTCAAAATTCACACACAACAGCAAAAATAGCCAAAACCTAACCCTAGACCTCTCTGATACTCACTTATCTAACAACTTTGGAAGTGACGAGGCTCGTTCCTTGCACCCTCTGCCTCGCCTTAGTTGACGACTTCTCTGTGTGCCAGAAACGTATCCTTCATCTCTTCTCTTGCATAATCTCTCCCGCAACCCTATACAGATCCAAAAGAAGTTGAAACAAGACAATCTTCAGTACAGGATTCACATATGGTATACATACTTAAAAAAATAATTATAAAAATATCATATATCTATACATAATCTTCCAGTACCTCTGAACATAAAACCATAGGCATGGGCATGGGTATGGGTATGGGTATATAATAAAAAAACAACTCTCAAAAACTGTCTATAGATCAAATAAGTAAAACAAGATAAAACCAGTAAAACACTGACCCTCCTTCTCTGCCTGATCACAAGTGCTCAGCGCAGGTCGGTTTGTTGACAAAAAGGGAAAACTTTGGCGTCGTGATGCCACTTCCTCTGGATCATGTTCTATGGTCAGCTGCAAAGAACTGGCTTGTTAGAAATGTTTCAAGATTTTATACAATACAAAAAAGGGGTATATATCATCACAAGTCCTCATCTAGATACATAAACATAAATAAATACCATTAGATAACTCACCTACATGCAATAACAGGGACTTTGCATCAATGTATATCTTCGAGAGACCTGTACTTCCCTCTTCAGTTCTTTCCTTGTACACTAAATTATTAATTTCTTACCTTTCTGTCACGTGTGTGATTTACCCACATTGCATACAGTACACAAGAAATAACATACTCACTTGCAGCACATCTTGAGAGCTTGCAATGAGATTTTCTATATCCTCAATACAATAGTCCTGTACAGGCCTTCCATTCACCTCTAAGATCCTGTCACCAATATGCAGGGACATCAAGTCAGCCGCTGAATCAAGCCTGTTTTTGAGAGAATGAAAACAAAACAAAAAAAGTCTAATTTTCATAGAGTAGGAATGAAATCTTTGAACTGCTCTGTACAACATTTTCTTGGTTCTGTGCTTCTGTGATTAACTATAGTTCAATCACAAATTCTCAATTGCTAGCTCTAAATCCCTTTTCCTAATAAGAATAAAAATACATGTAAATGATCTGTATCATGAGACAATATTCAAACCTGTTAAGTAAATACTAATTTCTAAGAAATATAACAATCATCAGTCCTTTGTGAACTTCAAGAGCAATACTATTCAGTGTACCAAGGTGGCTTTAGTGCTGGTAATGGTGGTGGCTCTGATGGTGGTACTGAAGGAGGTGGTGGTGGTGGTGAAGGATGTGGTGGTGGTGGTGGTGAAGGATGTGGTGGTGGTG